TCTTGCAGTGATTGTATGAACTCAACCTCATGAGGATCCCTTTTCAGCGCAGCTTCAACGATTGATCCAGCCGTTTTTGACATAAGAGCTACATTTTAAGAGTAATACCAAAGAAATACCAGCCAAACAGGAAAACTAATTAATAAATTAGTCTCATCATTTCTTTCTTTCAATCATGAGAAGGTATAAAATATATGCAAATATCGATACATTAAAGTTTAACTAAAACTCCATATAATGCCGGAAGAAGTATATAGGTGTACAGTCATGTGTATCTTACATAAGCCCCCTTATAACTTAGCAAATTGCAGATTATAACAGTTCACCGTAACCAAAGTTTTCATTCAGCAACCAGTTCAAAAATCGATATATTAAAGTTAACTAAAACCCCCTGTGATGCCGGAAGAAGTATTAAGGTGTGTCCAGTCATGTGCATAAGCCCCCTTATAAGTTCGCAAATTGCAGATTATAACAGTTCACCGTAACCAAAATTTGCATTCCGCAAGAAGTTCAAAAATTACAAATCCTAACTGCAAACATAACCTTAAGAGATTACTTTCTATAAAAACGAAAACTAACACTAAAGTAACACTCTGCAAAGAGAATATTTTGGGTGATACTCCACCAAAGGATTAATGCAGATTTTAGATGGTCAATATTTTCAAACCATACCGTACAAATAGAGCATAATGTGCTAACCTTTGACATAAATGGGTTTGTCAGCAACGATCTTATCCTTGGAAGCCATTTGAAGGCGAAGTGCCTCTTTGTGAAGCAAACTATTGTTGTGTTCCTCGAGTGCACTCATCTGCATATTTCGGCTACCCTCATTTCCATACGGGTTTCTTCTATGCTTCCGGCCATACTCCCTACACACAGAGCAAAAAATCCTAGCCGTCCCTTCCTTGACATCAACATAAGCCCATTTGTAGGTATCTGCCCATTCCTCTCTCCATCTTTTCACAACCTTTTTCTTCCTTTTTACTGGTTGTCCCTTTGACATATCTTGGTCATCGCTAGGGATTTGAGAAACCATTACCATATTCTTGCTTTCATCATGATCCTCAGCAGAAGGTTCTCGTGGCGGACCACCAATGAGGGGGGTGTTAGCAAATGCAGGATCATCATCCCCAGGTCCAATTTCTAAATCAATCTCTTCTCCAAGCTCCCGAACCACCAAGTGGTGCCTCTGTGCCTGCTGAATCAAATTCATATCATCCATCATGGAATTCATCCCTAATCCACCACCCGGTAGCAACATTCAGCATGACAATCTTAACTGAAACCTGAAATCCTGCACTAACCGTTTGTTAACATGGATAAATTTATCGAACTCCATTTACAAAATTATCTAAGATTGATAAATTAGAAAACAAAATAACTTCAGAGAACATGATAACTAAAAACAATTAGAAGAATCCTAAGACATCACCTTGATTTGAAACCTCTAACGTAGCAAAACCTTATAACGCTAGTAGCCCCCAAGTTGAGGTTTACGTAAGATAAGGTGTGAATTAATATATAGCATGAAATCTTCCATTTATATTTTTCAGTTATCCTTATTACCTTATACTCAATAGAAAAGTATAAGTGTACAAACTTAGTTTACAATACTCAGTTTCTCATACAATTCAGAATTTGTTCCCCCCAAGCATTCCTTTGTATTTCCAAGGTAAGGCAAGAAAAAACCTTTTGTAAATCCTATAACTTCCACTACAGAGGAAATGAAAAACTCCACCACACTGAGACTAACACAAGCATAACTTTGATAACAGTTATGAACTCCTAAAAGCCAAAACAACAAGAACCAAAACATCAATTATCTAAACATCAGTTTTCTCAGCACCCTTAAGAACTTTCTAAACCGCATATAAAGTAACTGCCCATCGAGAATTAATCATTCAATTACACCCACAATACATCCATTGCACCTAAAATCCAAAATCACTTACGACTAAGGAGTTCTTAGAGAAGAATAAAAAACCCCAGAAAACAAAAAAGCAACAGTATTTCATTTCTAATCATTGCTAGAAGTTATTTTTTTCGGAATTCAATAACATCCATACGTTAATTGTCAATTTTGAAGAATACCCAGAACTTAGAAATCAAAAAATCCATCAAGTACCGTGAGTACAGACGATGAAAACGATGAACTTGAACGTTTCAAGTTGCAGTTTCAAACTGGTCCCTTGAGCAGTTGCTCTTCTCCAAAGCTGGAAACTTTATGCAAACGGTTGTGGAAATTGTTGAAGAAGATGACACAGAGAGTGAGATCAACACGTCTGGATAGTCGGGCTCTTGTTCGATCAGATTTTTCAGTGACGAGAAGAGATTGTATGGTACAACAGTACGTAAAGGAAAGAAAAATAAAGGAGAAAGCTTTTATAAATATATTTGAGAGATATAAATATATTTGAGAGAGAGAGAGAGAGAGAGAGAGAGTATACAAGTTGGGTGAATTTCATTTCTTAAACTGCAATTATGAGTGTGCAAATGTTATTATCGTAGTGGATAGTTACTTCTTCTCTGTGGGGCGCGTGACACGCGCTCCCTTAATAACCCTTTTCTCCTTGTTTTTCTTTTTTAGGACAATCAAAATTCGAAAACTAGTGTAGTAGTTGGAGTAATTATCCCTACGTAAAGTTATAGGTTTGAGTCTTAGCATACATATTGTGTGTATGAGTTTAATATATTATCATGCCCTCTCAATAAGAAAAGTTTTATAATAAAAAATTCAAAAAAACATTTTAGGACAAATTATGATTTCGTAAAATGTTTGAAGGCAAATTATGATTTCAGTTGTAAACAGGTTTTAGCGGAGAAAATCTAGATTAAAAAACAAAAAAGAATCTAGATGCTTATAAATCCACACTTTTCACATATGAGGTGTTTCACATCCAATTTACTTTCACATCTGTCACTCATTTAATTTTGTCAAAACAATGTCATTGTCTTTCAATCTTTTATTAACTACTTATCTTTTTTGTTAAAAGAAAAACCATTTACAAAAAAGTTTTATGCTTTCTTATCGCCGACAAGAGAGCCAATCTCAAAGGATATTCAATGACAGAAATTTGACAACCGTCACCATCTTTGTTTCTGTTGTTGGTGGTGACGAAGAAAACACAGCACCAACAAAAGCATATCCAAGAATAATAGAATTTGAATTTCACCATCCGCAGAGGGTGAATAATTGAATTTATCTGCATGATCCTATCAATGATTTAGTCTTATTTGATTCTATTTGAGTTCTTCTTCCCACCCAATGTATGTATGATACACAAATATGCACATAAAGCACAACATCAAGGAGCCCAATAAACCTAATAGGCTGAATAGGTCAGGCAAAACAAAAAACAAAAAGCCGGACCTGAGTACAAAAGTAATATACACAAAAATCAAATAATAAATGTTATGTACGGATATACTAGGTAGGCACGGCCAAAACCCTACGACACTCTCAACAGGACATGGACATTTATCTCCAAAGAAAGGACTGCGTTGTGCGTTGATCATATCCATCTTCACCCTCAGGACCTGAAAGAAGAGGCTTCAATTCTAGCGAATGAGGATGAGATTCTCTCTTCAGTCCTTCATATATGAGACTGCAAAGTCTTTAATCCTTTGCTTAAGGTGCTGCAGGCAGACGAAACATATTCAGAATAATTGTACAAAAAGATGTGTTTAAATAAATAACTAGAAGGTTAAGAGCAAATGCATAGTTGCAACAAGTCAAAGATGGAGGTCGATGGGGTTGGGATGAATTACCTTCAATTCTTCATGAAGCACCACAAATATTTTTTTCAGCCTCTTATGTCTCTGCAAGTGACATTATTAATTGAGTCAAACCGAAAAGCTCAACAAGATAAAGTTAGTTATTATTTGAAGAAAAAATAAATCATAAATGCTAAGTTTAAAGTATTGGGAGAACTGAAAACAAAAAAAATCCCAAAGCGCTTTATGTATTGTAAATACTCAAGAAAAATAGAATCAGAGGTAAAACAGTATCTACACGAATATTTGAAATATATAAATACCAGCAACACACTGTCAACTATTTACATATGACAACATTATTTTGATCAAATTTTTCCATACTCACCAAATAAAGGATTAATCCCAAATCTGGTGGCTTGTTACGGTAAATTGTACTTCAAAACTTGTACATGTACAAGAACGAACTTAGAGTTTGTACAAGTTCGAAACAGAAAAGCTGCAGGAAATAGTACAGCGAAATAATTTTTATTCTTATCATATCATCCTTAATTTTTTTAACTGTTTTAGTTTTCCATACATTGCAATAGTCATTAACATTCACAAAAAATAAGCCACTACAATTTCTAATAACTATTTTCAGGTATTGTTATTCATCATTCAAGAGGTACACAGGTGTAAATAATTGGATTCCACAACAATATGCTCAGGCGTATATGTGTAGCATTGAAGTTAAAAGAGTGCATTGATACATCTGTAAAATTTTCACTGATACATCTACGAAGCCAAATTTGAAGGCATGCAAACAACACTGAGCAAAATTATGAAAACAAAATAAGCGAAACTGAAGTTCCATAATCAAAACAAGAAAACAGTGAGACAATGTCTTGCTGAATTACTTCACATTTCAAGCATCAAGTACAAACTGGCAGTGCGAAAGGTATTTAGAAAACCAAGAACAAGGCATACCGTTCCACACTGACGATAGGATTCCTTCAGCTGCCCCAGGATGTCTTCTGGAACTCATTCCTACATTTAGCAGGAATAAATTGTTTTGAGATGCACAGATTTGAACGAAATCAACATAAAGCCATTAATTAAACAAGTAACAATAAATAAGAAGCAATATTGCCTTAAAAAAGGTGAAAGGAATCTTCAGATTACCTGTAACTCTCTAGGATCTTGTTCAACGAGCAATAGCTATCATACTTATCACGATATTCTTTCACGTATTCTTTGTACCTAAGACAAGAAAAACCAAAAATACAAGGTAGGTCAGATGGCAAAAACAGAAGTAAATACAACAAGGCCAAAGCATGGTTAAATTAGTTTCACTGGAAAAAACGCCTTTTGTTCACTTACTGAGAGAAATCTTTTATTGGTCCCTTCAGCTCAGGCTCAGTCTTCTCATACTTAGAATAAGAACAACTATTCTCATCTGAAGAAGAATCCCTTTTTCTTCTATCACTGTCATTGCCTTCTGCCAGCATTGAATCCTTTCGTACATCAGCCGAATCCACCATCATATTGGATGCCTGTCTTTTACTTTCTTTTATGGCATGGGAAACTAGACCTCGTTTAGAGTCATGCTGCTGAGCAGCATTTGGGGTTGCTTTTTTATTGCTTTCTCCATGTCCATCCACACCAATCACTTGTCTACCTCCAGCTTCATTCTGCCTAGATTTACTACTAAGATCTACTGATTTACTAAATGGGCGCCCCACATCAGGTTGATCTACTCGTGAAGGGTGTTGCGACTGGGATTGCACAGCTCTCGGTTGAGACCTTGTTAAATCCTCAATGCGATCTTCATAGTTCCTCTTTTTATTTGAGCCTTCCTGATTACTAGGAAACTTTGAGTTTAAATCTGGTGAGAATGGCCTTCCCGAATCAAAATTTGCCTTTCCTGCAGGTTTCACTTTACTAAAATCAGAAACCCAGTTTTCTGAAGTGCTCGTTTTGTTGTCTGACTGCTTAAATGAACTTTTTCTTTCAAACTGCTTCTTAACTGTTGTTTCCTCAGGCAAGGGTTCACGAAGTTCACCCAACTCCAAGTCTGAAAACTCTCTTTGGAGTTTACTGCCTCTACCATTAACAACAGGAGGTCCGTCTGCACCATTTCTGCTGTTATCCTTTGGCGAAGAACCCAAGAACAGGCTGGAAACCTGTCCACTCCCCTTGACCTTTCCAGCCATATCACCATGTTTCTGGTAGTGGGAGTCCAAAGGCACTGATTGTTTGGCTCGGATACCACCTTCCTTGGAATTTCTTGGAATCTTTTTCTCATTCGCATAATCATCGTCATTTTGATTATCTCTATGAAATTTATCTTTTTGTAGGGGTAAACCTTCATGCACATGAGAGCTCCTCTCAGAATACATTCGGCCATGCCCTATACTCTCAGCATATCTATCATGTCTTTCTGCTGGATCAGGAACCTTTGCCTGTGGATTATGATCAAAGGACTTCCGACTTGATTGTTTAAACTCGGAACTATGTCTCCCAGAAGATGATTGGTGGCATGCCTTTAGAGAGCCAGATTCAGTATTCCCACCCCTATCAGCTCTATTCATCGCTTGAGAGACAGGGTCTTTATGAGAGCCTTCAATGAGTCTATCAGGAGACAGATTGTGAGAAGCTTCTGGAAAATGGGCACCTTTACCCGCAGAAACAGGAGGTTGCTGTGAGATTTCTGTTTTTGACCTTTTTTTGCGTTCCGATTTCTCATCAGAGTGCTTTACCTCAGAACTGCTTTTGGATTTAACTTTAGATATCCTCTCAGAGCTGTCAGACTGCTCATACCTGAAGTCATCCTTGACAGTAGTGTCCCCTCCAAACAAAGGGTCTACCAAACTTTGGTGGTCTTGGAGCTCCCCATGCTCAGGTGAACAGGGTTTTGTTTCTTCCGGAGGCTGTTCACCTTTATTACGATTAGAGTTACCAACTACAGCAAATTCAGTATTCTTTTCCACATCAGGCAAGTGTCTTTCAGTCTCAACTGCGTCAAATTCAAGATCATCTTGCTTCTCATCGTACCCACTCTGCACAGGCCTGCCATCAGGAGTTTTCCATGGGACGGGCAAAGTAGAGAACCCTGGTTCGGAGCCTTGCAATTCATGCTTTGGTTCTTTATCATCTTCACTTGTCATAATATCCACATCCTCATCAGAACCCTCCTTGCTATTAGAAGATGCATCGCTTTCACTATCACTACTACTTACACTCCCGCTTCCCCCTGGGCTTTTACTTTTGCTTCTGCTTCTGCTACTGCTAGGACTTCCACTGTCACTTCCGGTATCACTGCTGTCACTATCACTGTCACTGTCACTTCCGGTATCACTGGAACTGCCCACTTGAGCTTCAGTATTTTCGGACCCCCTTTTATCAACAAACAAATCAGGTGAATGCTTTTGGTTATCAATTTTTATCAATGCATTTGGTTCTTCTCCAATTGTAGCATTCAACTGTCCCTGAACCCGTTCTTCCAACTCATTAGGAGTAACTTTCTCTTCAAAGTGTGGTGCTCGAACAGGCGTTTGATCACGGTTCTCATTATAAGCCGGCGTCTGGTGAAGTTTATCCTCTGGGGAACTGGAAATTAATTACATGCACATTAAAATACATGCAGAAAGAGAGACAGAAACTAGCAGCTTATCAACCACCGAACACAGACTATATAATTCCACAAG